TTCTATCATTCAGGTGCTGCACAATATCTACCAAAGACACATTTGAAACGTGCACTTCCTGATTACAAATAGATGCAGACAGCAAGTCAGGGACATATTTTGACCTCAAGAGCTATTTATACAATATATCTGTACTGTGTTAAGACAAATTTTGCTAAAATGCATGGGGGAAAAAATCTTATACAAGACGTTAAATAAGTAAAAAAAGAGGCACAGAGGGTGCATTGAGGAGAAGAGCAGTATATACGATGCTAAAAACAAGTTTAGAAGAATTTGAATGCTGAAATGATCAAATCATGTTTGGTCAAATATGCACTTTAAAAGCACAGTGGCAGACCTCCTTGATTACCACCAGATGACATAATGAAATGGGACAAAGCATTGTGGGTTCTGGAGGGATATGGTTGAGGAGGAAACATCAGTTAAAAACTCAAAAAAAAAACCTAAAAAAAAAAAAAAGGCAATTTAAAATTTTTCTAAAATGTTGCTGACCTGTTTCAATGCCTGGCAGCCGTGTGGTATTGAACATCCTCTCCATCTGAGTGGAACACATAGGGACAGTCCCCAAGGCCCTCAACTGAGAAGACACCACAACAATTCACATCATATTAAAGAAAAAAAAAAAAAAAGATGCAAATGGCTCCTTGCATTCCTTACCGGTGCATGTTCTCCTCGCTCCAGTTTGCGCCTGTACTGCAGCATTGCGTGGACCACATTACCCGCCCTGGCAGCCTGGCGATGTGTTGGTGTAACATACAAGAGATCCTATAAGCAGATTTCACTTGTCATTGTCAATGCAAACAAAATATAACATAAAATAATCTTTGTATAATTATTTACCATCACATAAAAGTTACTGTTGACCATTATAGGGCTCCTGCCTCTGAGGTAGATGTACTCCTCCCACCAGTCACTGACCTAAACACATTTTAAAAACAACATTAAAATAGCGTGACAGTTGGTTCACTTTGCACTTACTGATACTCACATAATTATTGGACCACCAGGATTTTAAGATAAGAAATCTTTGGAGCTGGGTGGCCTGTGTATCCTTGAACTCATTGGCCAGTATCGCCATCTGGTTGTACTTGTCATCGTCCAGCAGAGGGCGGACTGACTCAAGGTACTGTTAGGACAGATGTTAGATGTTAGACATTATGTAGTATGAACTCTTTTTAGCTGTTATACACCTACTATTTACATAATTTGAACAGATTTTTATAAATTATTTAAAACTGGTATATCACAATTGGACAAATGCAATAAAGTTAATAACAACAATTACAAAATAGTAAACCTATATGGTGTTTAGGAAAATAAAAACAGAAAGTTTGATTAGATTAAATAAAACCAAATCTCCAAAAAGTCTCTTTATTTGTATACAAATGTAATATAGGCTAACTATAATGAACTGACCCTCTGAATAGTATCCTCCACACTGGGCACAGGCAATCTGGGTAAGGAGGCCTGGAAACTGTACAGAAGAGGGCGGCGACCAGAGAACATTTTCACTAGGCTCTGTGAAAAACAAAAACAGAAAATTACTTGCACACATTCATACATAGGTAAACTTGGTAAAGTGTCTTGCTCAAATACAATGAGCATGCACAAACCCAATCAGTTAATATGTGTGTATTTTTGTGTTGTTTGTAATTACATTATTAATTAGATAATTACAGTAATATTAATTACAATATTAAACATAACATTACTCCCTCAAGAGAGGGAATTGCATTTTCTGCATTTGACCCATCCTTGCATTAAGTGCTGCAGTGACAGGAGGAGTGAGCTGCTGCCGTTCAGTGCTCCGGGATTCATCTCCAGATCTTGAGGTAGGCTAGGTCAGGGCTACCTGACCTCGAGGATTTTGTCTATTTTGGGTTGCTGGGGGAAACCGAAGTACCCGGAGGAAACCCGCCAAGATGCGGGAAGAATCGTGTGTACTCCACACACAAAGGTGTGACCCGCAGTACACAGACCCAATATTTATGTGTTATAGACAACCTTTTTTTTTTCTTAAGTGCAGTGACTTACCAGCCAGACTTTGGTGGAGGTGCTCATCTTGCCGTGTGACTCAAAGATCCAGCCATGGTAGGACAGCAGGATTTTGAGGGTGTATCTCAAAAGAAGGATCAGGAAGAGCCATAGGCCCGTGGCAAACAGGATGGCCCCCAGCACTGCTCTAGTCTGCACACTCATGTAGTTCCTGTGTGCAGACACCAAAACCAGGTTAGTGCTAAGTTTACAAACAAATACAGACAAATAAATCAAAACTAAAACAGGAATAAACAATGATCTAACTAGGACAACTAAATTAACCTCAAAAAAGGACCAAATCACATCAGAACTAAACCAAGATGTATTGGACTACACAGGTCCAAAGTAGGACTGTACCAGAACTAAAACATGATTATAACAGTCCAGTATACGATGTTTAAAATGCAGATGCAATTACTAGTAATACCACAGTCTTACTTGAATGGGAGAGTGTCTTTGATGGCATCGATCGTTCCCAGAGAAGGGTCGATGTGAGTGTACAGAGAACTCATCATGAGGATCACAACTATGAGCCAGCTGGAGGGACTGGCCGGGTACACCCCAGCCAAAACGCCATTCTGGAGATATAAAACGATACAAAATGATACAAAAACGATACAAAATGATTCTAGCTAGTAGTAAATGTTTAAGTACTCAACCAGGGCTTGATTTGTTTGATATTTTGTGTCTTAACAGGTTAAAGGGTTAAAGGAGCAATATGTATGTTTTCTGGTGGATAGTCCATCACCTGATTGTCTCCATGGAGATATTACTTTGCCTGGAATGTTCTGCACTGTGGGTTTAAACTTAAGACAATCCACTAGAAAACTTACATAGTGCTCCTTTAATGATTGCTTATATAATGTAAATATTTCAATTTTTTTTTCTATAGAAAATATTTGTGGTGGTAAATTATTACAGAGGGAACTATATGTAAGATTTTGATAGACATGTTCAAATCAAATAGGGCTTTTACTGAGAACCATTCTAATGCACCTTAATTCTTAATTAAATAAACATTGGACATGATGTTCCAATTATTTAGTGTTCCGTTTATGTTATGTAATGTTCATTCTCAAGACAGAAAGCAGAATGAGCAACACATGAGTCTGTCACTGAACTGTCATTACCTAAACACCAGTAGCTACAGCCTATCATTTACCAGTGCTAGTAGCCTCTGCAGTTCAGTGAGTGAATTCTGGAGGCTCTGAGTTTTCACATGAGGCATGGCCTGTCCATATACTGAGAGTGAGAAAAACTGAATCTGTCCTGCAAGTTAAGGTACTGGCAACTGGGTTGCAGTTCAGTTGTGATTGTAGTACATAATTATAAACAAACAAAATGCTGGCTACATGCAGTTCCTTTAATGAAAGTATAATTACATGCCACCATGTTGTGTTGTTGTACCTTAAACTGGATGGCACGTTTCTTCCATGCAGTAACCCCACACAGGTAGATGTTTTTGATGACCTCTCGACTGAGCTTGATGTCTACTCCATCTGGACGCACAGTGAACTCAAAGCCCACCGCCTGATGGGCTTCAGCCATAGCTCTATCTCACTATAAACAGCACACAAGTGATAAAACCAAATTTTTCAGGTTCATTCTTAAGTCTCAAAATCTAATAATCTAACAGAGTAGTGGGATTCCAAACATGGTATTGTTCTCACAGCAGGTCTAATATTACTTTTTCCATTGCTTGTCATATGACTGTACATTCACTAAGTGGGACAAAGTTCATTGGCCAGATATAGCAGCGCGCCGGCAGAGCATGTGCGCAGACGTCAGAGCTTGGGCTAGCAAAATATAAACACAGAACACGACCAGTCTTTACAAGCTAAACTTTCACTTTTTCAACAACATATGGAGCAAACAATTAGATGAATGTAATGCTATTGTTAATGGATAATATAAATATGATTATGCTAATGCAATATCCTAAGCCTCACATTATTAAACTAACTAAATGAACAGCAGTCCTTTTTCCACTACAGTGCATACAACAATAATAAATTATACTAAATATTAGCCTAGTTTTATAATAGTGAATTCGGAATTTGGGAAAAAGTAAAATTTCTGTCTGAACCTTTGCACAACAGCCTTTATGCCATATAATTAATACTGGTAATACCATGTTTACACCTGAGATGAGATGAAGATCAGTTTGAATATACTGCATAATTTACCTTTCATAATTGTAAACATGACAACAACATGACAACAGTTAACATAATATATTCATTAAAACAAGCAGATTTACAAAAAACAAACCAAAACATAAACATTTACCTTATGTCAAATCCTGTTCAGTAGAAGCCTAGTAGTTGGACCCAGTTTGACTCTGTTGTCCTTGGAGTGGCTATAAGCTCAGGTAGTGAGCTTTTGCCCTCCCTCCTCTCTTTCCCAAATGTTCTCCTTCACCCCTCACACTACTTTTTTTTTTTTTTTTTTGTAATGCGACACCAACAGCAACACAAGCCTTGCCCCCATGTGCCATTCACTCCCTGCTATGCAACACTATCCCTGCCAAGCTGTAGAGGTGACAGCAAGGTCCTCTATCGGTGGAAACCAGGTCAAAGTGCATTGTGTGTCTTGCGTCACAGAAATGCACTGCGCACTATGTAACTTTTCTGGTGGAGGGTCTAACACCAGCTTGTCTCCACGGAGATGTTATTGCTTTGCCTAGAATGTTCAAAAGTACAGCTTTAAATTTCATTTTTAATCTTCATTGAGACAAGCATTTGCCACCACTAGGCCAAGTTACGGATTAGATCTGTCGAGAGGCAATCCCGCTCACATTAAGAACACATGTTTTTCCAAGGTATTTTTGAGCAATAAAAATATGGCATGTTAAATTGAAATAATGCAAAACAGATGTGTTTAATGTCATACTACAAAATATCTTAGGCCATACTGTGGAACAATCCAGGCAAAGTAATACCCCTGTAGACAAGCAGGCAGTGTTATAAGACCATATGGAAGGCAGATTCATAGAGGGCAGGAATAGGCAGCTGAGGGAGTGTGTATAAAGACAAAGTTTGAACATCCATCTTCATAACAGTATTGTGTTCTATACTTGGGAGAAAGATGCAGCCACCAGACACTGTCCCCTGCCCAGCAAAAGCCACTTTGTCAACCATCTGCACCTGAAGAGAAAAAAAAAGAAAAGATTATTGTAATATTGGAAGCCTCTCTCATTTTTATCTATCTATCTATCTATCTATCTATCTATCTATCTATCTATATCTATATCTATATATATATATATATATATATATATATATATATATATATATATATATATTAGGGGTGTCAAATTATCGCGTTAATTGCGATTAATTAATTACAGTCATATTTAGCGCGTTATGTTTTTTAATCGCGTTAATCTCATTTTTAATCTCTAACTTTACTGTTTCTGTATGCGAGTTGCTTTATTATAAAACCTGTTTTTATGTGTTGTTGGGACAACAACACACACACACAAAAAACACATTTATACATTTTTTTATTTCGGTAATTCCACTCATTGCCGGAAACCCACACAAAACGCGCGCAGTAAGAGCGACGTAAACGTCATGTTAACGTTGGTGGCGTCAGTCGCACGATGGACGAGGTCGAAGAGCCAGTAGAACACAGGCAGCAGTGCACAGGTAAAAACACATTCGTGTCTTGGAAATTATTCTCCCAACGTGAAATATAAAAGAAAATAACAAATATAATATCGCCTACAACTTAAATGTCACTGGTGAAAACAACCTTCATAGGCTCATGATGTCTGCACTACTGTCCTATAGTGACCTGCCACATGAGGGGACACGCACACAAACACAAACACACACAAACAAACACACACCTTCATCATCGTCATTAACCTGAGAACGCGCGGACCACGTTTCCTTCCGTAGTTACTGCGCGGACACCGACGTGCTCCCGTGCGCCGCGTGTGGATCGTGTTTTCTCGCGAACGCTGCGTAAACCGCGCTTCCTCCTGTGCGCCTCTAATCCAGAACTAACACCAAGACTAAAACCAGGACTTATCCAGTCCAGGTCTAAACCAGGACTAAACCAGGACTAAACCAGGTCTAAACCAGGTCTAAACCAGGACTAAACCAGGACTAAACCAGGCCTAAACCAGAACTAAACCAGGACTAAACCAGAACTAAACCAGAACTAACACCAGGACTAAAACCAGGATTAATCCATTCCAGGACTAAACTAGGACTAAAGTAGGACTAAAGCAGGTCTAAACCAGGACTAAAACAAGGACTAAAACCAGTAATCTCATATATAAAGTATTTCTCTATCAATAATATTTTTAATATGGTTAAGGAAAGACTGGACTTTTTATTGTCTTTAAGGAGACAAAAGTTATTATGTTCAGATTTCCTCATCTTTGCTACTTTACAGCAAACAGTTTCTTATTCATGGAGACTTAGGCTCAACAGCTAATTTGGAGAGATTTGTTAAACAATAAATGACTTTATAAAGTCACTTTTTTTTTGTTCTATATCAGTCTTTTGATCTGCCACAATAATATAATAATGAATTTAAATGAAAATACCTCAAATTGAAGGCTTTTCTCAGCAATTTTTAGGTGAGATTAAAATTAGATTAATTAATTACAGATCATAACTAATTAATCTCTCAATTTTTTTAATCGCATGACAGCACTAATATCTATCTATATCTATCTATCTATATATATATATATATATATATATATATATATATATATATATATATATATATATATATATATATATATATATATATATATATTAGTGCTGTCATGCGATTAAAAAAATTGAGAGATTAATTAATTATGATTTGTAATTAATTAATCTAATTAATCTCATTTTAATCTCACCTAAAAATTGCTGAGAAAAGCCTTCAATTTGAGGTATTTTCATTTAAATTCATTAGTTCAGTAGTGCAGAACAGTCCAATGTTTTGTTCTTAGCCATTCTTATGTGTTTTTAGCTGTGTGTTTTGGGTCCTGTTGGAAGTCCCACGACCTATGACTAAGACCAAGCTTTCTGACACTAGGCAACACATTTAGTTTCAAAATACATTGATAGTTTTGAGATTTTGTTGTACCTTGTACAGATTCAAGACACCCTGTGCCAGATGCAGCAAAACAGTCCCAGAATATTACCAAGCCTCCCCCAGGCTTCACAGTACGGATAGTGTTCTTTTCTTGGTGTGCTTCATTTTTGCATTTGTGAACACAGAGCTGATGTGCCTTGCCAAAGAGCTCCAGTTTTGCCTCATCTGTACAAAAAACATTCTCCCAGAAGCTTTGTGGCTTGTCAATATGCATTCTGGCAAATTCCAGTCTCACGTTTTTATGATTTGCTCTCAGCAGTGGTGTCCTCGCATGAAGTTCACTTTGGCTCAAACAACGGATGGTGCGTTCTGACACTGATGTACCTTGCCCCTCAAGTTCACATAAAATTTCTTTGGAGGTTGTTCTGGGCTCTTTGTTTACCATTCGTATGAACCATCTCTTCAATTTGCCATCAATTTTCCTCTTGCAGCCTCGTCCAGGGAGATTGGTTAGAGTCCTGTGGACCTTAAACCTCTTAATAACATGTGTAACTGTAATCACAGGAACATCAAGCTGCCTGGAGATGGTCTTATGGCCTTTATCTTTAACCTGCTTGTCTATCACTTTCTTTCTAGTCTCCTGACACAGTTCTCTTCTTCTTTTTCTCTGGTCCATGGTCAGTGTTGTAGTCATCAAGTCTCCAAATGGCACAATGACACATGTCACCCTTGAAGACACCTGATTGATTACAAGAAAGCCTACGACTCACTGCCACACACATGGATCACTGAGTGCTTGGAGCTGTACAGTATCAACAGGATTCTAAGAGCCTTCATTGCAAACTCGATGCGGTTGTGGAAAATCACCCTTGAAGCCACGGGAAGGCCCAAGGTGTAGGCTGTGCAAAGAGGCTCCTGAGACAGTCCAGCACATAACTTGCATGGTGTAAGATGCTGGCAGGGAAAGCATACATAAAGCAATATAACCAAGTGGTGGACATAGTGTACAGAAACATCTGTGCAGAGTATGGGCTGGAGACCCCAAGGTCAAGGTGGGAACACCAAAGGTTGTGCACAATGATTGAGCCAAGATCCTGTGGGACTTCCAGATGGACAAAATGGTGCTGGCAAAGCAACCAGACATAGTGGTGGTGGATAAGCAACAGAACAAAGCCATGGTGGTGGACATCACAATACCAAATGATGGCAATGTAAGGAAAAAGGAACACGAGAAACTAGAAAAATACCATGGACACAAGGAGGAGCTGGAGAGAGCCTGGAAGTGAAGGCATCAGTGGTGCCCGTGGTGATCGGAGCACTGGGGCTGTAACCCCCAAACTGGAGGAGTGACTACTGCAGATACCAGGAAAAACAACAGACATCTCAGTCCAGAAAAGTGCAGTACTAGGAACAGCAAAGATACTGCGCAGAACTGTCAAGCTCTCAGGCCTCTGGTAGAGGATATATATAAAGAGTAAAAAGTATTTGAGGGAGGTGCTACTCAAGTCTCAAATAAGAGTAAATGTAATATTGAAATAACACTAGTGTCAGAAAACTAGAGTATGATCTAGTAAATATGAGTACTGCCCACTTCTTGTATTTAGTTAATACTGTAACTAACATATCTAACATTACGTAAGTTATGGCATGTTATTATTAGTGAGACATAACCGGTTTGACCTGGTTGTTAAATTCGGTAATACCTGTTCCCACTTCTGTGACTGTAGACAAAATGATGTCACCACATTATGGGAGATGTTTCCACCAATCACAAACAGTTTCTCTGCAGCACCCAGGAAGTAGAGAGTGGGTAAGTCTGCATCTCCTCTGGTCAGTGTGGGGAGTATTTCACACCAGGAGTCTAATCAACAGCAATAAAAATTATACACCAAACCTGTATGTAATTATATGAATGCTTTATACAGATTTTTACCTTGTCTGGTATCATACTGAAGGAGCAGTTTTTCACCAGTTCTTTGAATGTTTCCCAGAACATAAAAACTGTGTCCACGACTGGCAGCCAGAGGCACATCATGAGACAGAGATACAGTGAACTGGAAGTCTGTGAGTGGCAGAGAGGAGACCAACCTGCAGAAGATCATTTTATTTTCGATGAAAAAAATAAATGCCATGCTAGAACTAATGTACTAGAAGTAAAACATTTTATTGGTATTTTATTGGTAAATGTATTTCTTGCTCAATACATTTTGTGGTTGTCATTAAGGTGTTTTTAACCACTATTTATATACATATACAATAACACATAAGAAGAATTGTATACCAGCTGGGGGATTTACATAGGTTCACTCCGGGGTCACATAGACCTGAAGAAACTTTTTTTTTTCTTCCCCCTCTCTTGGGGCGGGTCAGTCAGACCCAAAAATTAATTTTCTCGCCTGGCAAGAAAATAAATACATTTTTGGGTCTGATCTTGAAAGCGGGAAAGAAAAAAAATGTTTCTTCGGGTCTATGTGACCCAGAGGAGAGCGTGAGGGTTAAAATAATAATACAATAATGGTCTAGAGACACATTCTTTTCCCTCTGTTGACACTAACCTCCATGTGTCCTCCCAAGGATCATAGCACTCCACAGCTGTGTACAGAGCTGTGCTGGAGTCAGGGGTCACCAATGAGTCCAAGTACCAGCCTCCTACAGCGTAAATACTGCCAGAGCAGGCCACTGCGCTGAAGTGTCTACGGCACTGGAAACAATACAATAAAACTGTAACATGCAACATTCAAGCTTAAAAATACACTATGTAACTTTTCTGATGTTCCAGAGTATGGCATTAAACTTAACTATATCTCCATAAAGAACAGCAGGGGACATAGGTCAGTTACATGTCTGATCTCTGGAGAGGCTGCCATGCATGTTTTTCAAGCAGTTAACACCATAATGGAATAACATGCAAGATAGACACATTTAAAGCCATAATAAGGAACATCCCAGGCACACCCTTACAAGCAGGTAGATGACTCTTAAACCAAGATAGCTGACATTGTATCTGAAAATTATTCGTAATAGACATTCCCAATTGTTGCATACAAAAAGTGCAAGGAAATAGGATATATATATACATACACACACAGACACACAGAAATACACACACACACACATACAGGTGTGTGTGTGTGTGTGTTCTGTGCGTGTATACATATAGTAAACTAGTATGTGATATTATACTTGTAAATACAGCTCAAGTTCATTCATTTCTGCCTGTGAATGCAACTTTTTTTTATTATTGATACCTGCTCAAATTAATATCTAGTTTTGATACTAGGTTCAGTATTGATTAGTATCTGATTTTAAATACTTTTGACAACCCTAGTTTTGAGGAGGGTTAGTTGCGTAGTGGAAACAATTTGAATGCTTAAGTCATGACTTATGAGGGAACAACCCTTTATACAAATTTGTCCTCAATTACATGACTCAGAACATGTCAGAGCGTGTGCTAGACTGGCCACGATATAAAATTTTATGTGTAATAAACAGGAAATGTCACATGTTAGAGTTGAAACTGAACAAGAGCTCTAAAGTAGGACAAAACTATCATTGAAAAAACATAAGCTGTGTTTAGTTGGAGTCAATACTGAGTCTTTGTAGTTACTTATTCAACAGACCATCTGTGCCTACCTTTATCAGTGGTGCTGTAGTGACCCATGTGTTAGTGAAAGGGTTATATCTAAAAGAAGACATTTTGAAGTCCCAGCCTCTCTTGGTGCGCTGCCGGTACCCTCCTATGATGTATAGGTAGTTGTGTAGGACCACTGTAGTGAAGCACCATTTATCGGCTCTGAAGGGGAGCTCTGTTAGCGGCCTCCACTCCCCAGTCTCCTCGGGCCCCTCCAGAACAAAGACATACCGGGCTTGTTCTGTTTGCGGATCAGTCCATGAAGTGAGGTTTTCCTTTCTGAGGCAGCACAGGTGTAGGGCACCATCAGTCCTCAGATGGACCAGTTCTTCTTTTTCTTCTTCATATAGGCTCCTACAAAATTTAGACGAGAATGAACAATGAGACTAAGGAGGTAACCAAGGTAACCTAATGGTGGGTAGTATTCAGTCACATTAAGTCTCATTTATATTTACTAAGTTACTGAGTTTACTGAGTAACCTATTTTAAAGATTTTTCTAGCAGCACAGTTTCACCAATATTTAATATTTTAGAGTAATATTTTTAGTTGAAAATAAAACACCTAAACAGGACAGTGAACACATTGATCATAGGCTCTTGAAAATGTGTACGTATTAGACAAGATTTTTAGACTATCTTAAAACTTTTTGGCTGTGTTTGCAAATGTGTACATTGTGTCGTCACAGAAACTGCTGAACATTCCACCAGAGACATACATGCAGAACAGCCCCAGCTTGATGAAGTATCAGTTATGTGTACCTGATGACATGGGGTAGCTCCAGCATGTTGTTCTTCAGATATTTAAAGATGGCCTGCCTCAGCTCTGGACAGCAGGTCTCTCTCTCCAGGGTCACGTAGGATGCACAGTTGTGTGGGCTTAGTTCAGACGCAAACTCGGACACGCACTTAGCAAGGAAGGACTCAGCCACAAGATAGCTACAAACCTTTATAAAGACAAATACTATATGAGTGGTATTCTGTATTATAATTGCCCTATATGGAGTGTTTAGTGTCTTTTTTGCTGCTGAATGTTGCTATGACAAATGTTATAAATATTACTGGTAATATGTGTTCATGTTCTTAAGTTCATGTTTATAATTTCTGACAACAATATGTTGAGATTCACTGTTTCTGGGGGGGAAAAAAAGAAAAGAAAAGAAAAACAGAAAATACATAAATAACCTTATCATTATTAGTTAGGAAGTGGCTCCACAGATTTGCAATGTTAATCTTATGGATTAAAGTCCTTTCTGCTGACACCAATCATGATTTTGGGGTTAAATAATGGAACCACTTTTTTAAGCTATTGTGAAAACTTTAGTTTATTTATACTAACAAAGAAGACGTTGAACTTTGTGCCAGTTTTTGTTTCATGTGAATAAGCCCCTGTAATTACAAAGAAGCTCAACAAATCTGCAATTTGAACAATGGACCCCAGCCACTAGAAATACTTTAATTATGTCCTTACTATGGGCTCTTGTAAATGTAGAAAGCTCATTTTGAACATGCCACTATTTCCTGAACCTGTCAACTTCCCCAAACCTGTGTAACCGTGCTGACCTACAAAAGCCCTAGAGAGTCTCACTGACAAGCACTGTCTAGTGAAGACAGCATACCTGTATGTGTGAGGCCAGGTCCTCTGGTGGGACTGAAAACCGTCCATAAAACGAAAACTCCAGAAGATTGTGGAAAACGGACGATGGCACATGCTCCAAATAGATGAAGTTTTCTGTAGTTTCTCTCATTCTGGACTGGGACAAGGCTCGGAAATACTCACTGCAAGCTGCTAGTCTTTGGAGATCCACCTGAGGAAATTGAAATGTGAATGTTATGTTAAATAAATGTTAAGTTAATTGTTAATTTGGACCATGCATTTTAATTTAGTTGTAGAAATAGGGCTAAAATGGTAATTATTGTGTTATTTAGTCAATGCTTGGGTTTAGTTTATAAATAATACAATTCTTCCTTGTCTCCAATGAGGTAGATAAGGTTCTAGACAAAGCATCTCCATGGAGAGAAGCCTCTTCTATAAGTTACAAAGTGCTCCTCCTCCCCCTTGCCCCAGCTTGTATTAGTATATATCTGAGAATTATAGTTTTGTAGTTATTTTAGTTATATTTTAATTCCTATCTGCAAAAAAGTATTATGTTGATAAAAACTACGGCAACAATATCACTGCTTATGCATGTGTACTCACAGTGAACGCATGTGTGCTGGTCTGGATAGTGATGGCTTCATCTACGTTTCCATAGCAATATATGCGTAGCTCCTCATTGGTCTTCCATTCCTCCGAGTCTTGATGACCATATAAAGCATTTCCTGTCTCAGTAGATGCTTTCCAGTCACTTAGCTTTATAAAAACTTCCCAGATTCTTGTAATAATACCTTTCAATAAGATTATCCAATTTGTAAATAGGTTAAAACTATTTCTAACAGTCTTCATTTTACTGAATTTGATCTAAAATGTCCAATCTTAGCTGCTTATTTATGTGCAAAAGTATCTTACACATTCAACACAGCTAGCAAGTGTATGCACTGCACTGTTAGCATGCCCTTCTAGTCAAATAGTACTTTTTATTAGTTATCCATTCTGAAGAAAAGACTACAGAACAATTGCCTGCAAAGATTAACAACATAGCACCATGCAGGCTACTGTTATCAGCTAAATAATTCCAGTTTTGCCTTGATTCTGTAGTGGACTTCCATTTCTTGGCAGTGCTGTGGTCTCTGGAGCTGCTATTTTGGGCTGGGGAGGTGGAGCTAAAAACTTGTCCCCTTCACTGCATCACCTAGGGGCACTTCATGCTAACTGCAACTATAGAGAATGGAAAAAATGAAACCATAGCATCAAGATTTTTAATGTAATTAACAAGTGCAAGGATAAAGAAAGTCAAAGTTTGATGTTACAAATAACTGCATAGTCTACAGTTAAATTCAGTCCAACAACACTAATGAGAGAAAGTAATAAAGTTGGTTTATTAACTGAAATACTTCAAAGACAATGTACATTCAAAATAATATTTTTGAAAATCTATAACTTCAAAAAGCAGAATACACAGATAATAACAGAAATGATATAAGGTACATATTAACCAATACAGAGAAAAAAATACAAGTATCACATTACATTGATACTGTTAAAATTATTTTGTATCCACATGTCTGTTACTTAAAGGGCCTATAGAGGAGCAAAAAAAAATTACTTAAATAAAAGTATTATATATTATAGTAAAATGTTGTAGTACATGCTTGAAATTGTACTTTTACAGTAAAAACAATTTCACAGTTTTTTTAAGTATTAAAGCATAAATAATTGTTTTGATTTTTTTGATCAACAGTGGTGACTAGCAATTTCTTCTTCTATACATTTTTGTAAATTTTTGTTTACACAAAGCCAGAACTTCATCTCAAAACCTTTAGTCAGTGTGTTACCATGAATGTGCCAAAATACCCCCTCAAACCATTCACTGTACTTTTTACTTTTCAGTCCTGTTCTATAATGTAGTGAAGTAGAGAGTACAGATGTAGTAAAGTAAAAGTAAAAAGTATCCACTGTAAAATGTACTTCAATAAAGTAGAGATATCCAGGTACTTTTACTTTTGTTATTTTTATTAATGATTCTAGCCTCTTCATTTAGGAACATAGTGGATTGGACGCAATACAATACTAGTTACAAGTAGCCCTTTTTCTAACTCTGTAATTTTCATACTTAGCAGAGGGAGGTAGCAACTACTACAACCATTGAGATTCTCCTACAGTCATTATGTAAGTGCAGTTACTTGAAATTATTGTACAGCAACTGTGTAACTGAGGTAAAACTATTGATTGGACCACTGAATGAACTGGTCACACGTGTTGATTAAAAATGTTAAAGTAATACTTAAAGACAGATAAGGACAGCATATTACGTGCACATTCCAAACAGTATTTCACAAAATGGGGACAGTCGAGTGCACTGATGGTCAAAGGCAATCGGACTGTGCTTCTGCTCTGTGCTCCTGTCTGTCACTGTGCTGAGCTCTAAGGACTGTCACAGAACTGCAGCAGAAACAGAAGCTTTATGCAAAAATCTTCTTCTGTTTGAAATAGGCATCAAAACGGACCTGCGCATAATCCTGAGAAATCACAAAGTTAAGTTCAGCTAATCAGTTGATTTAACTGTATAATACATGTATTTCTTTATAAATACTTACCATGTATCCAAATTCAATCTTTGATAATTTTGCCTGAATGATGGACCAGAGCCCCCAGAGAAAGTGAGAGGCTAAAGCATATCTGTACATCCAAACACAGCTGTTAACTACATTCATCCTTCTATATTGCGCCCAAAAACTGCAGTTAATACAGGTAAGTTTAAAGAGGGGGTATATTAACACTTCTAAGGGTATTAATTGTTAACACATAACATATTTAGATCACCACTACCATTGGAAATTAATTTGCCCTCTAATGAAACTATTGCACATTGTATCAGGTTTGTGAACAATACACTACAATGTGTATTGTCTTGTATCAGGCTTTTGTATATGTATGGAAAATTGCCATGCAGGACATAGGAACATGGGTGACATAGGACTGTGGGCTGAGTCTTGGACAGATTCGTACTGCTAGACAGATATGTAAATAGATCGACAGATACTTTATTGATAGAGAAATTCAAGTCCTGGTGCAGCAGCATTTCTACTGCACTTTTCATCCGCCTTTGTGTCTCAGTCACAGGTCTCAACGCTAAGGAGGATTCAAATAGTGCCCAGGAGAGATTGCTAGATTACTCAAACATACATGGCATACAGTATAACATAACATGACATATAAAACCTCAGGCATGTTTTCTTTGAGGAAACATCATAGCACGGTAGAAAGTTCCATAAACTTAATTTTGCATAATACCCCCTCTTTAAGAATTTATTTTATGTTTAAAATAAAAATCCACACAAATTACCTGTTAGCCTCAATAATCATGTCCTCTTCTACACAAGCCCAGTCCATCTTCACATTAGAAAGTCTCTCTTGTTCTGCCAAATAACTCCTGAGGAAATGAAGCTATGAAGGACATAAGTTCATTGTGTTAACCACCAGATGGCAGCATAAAGCTAAGGAGCAATGTTCTAAGAATGAGTGAATGAGCTCCAGACATGTGCCCCATCCCAGTTCTATTTCCTTGCCTCTTTGACAGCTAGATTTCTGTGCTGTCAACCACATTTACTAAGAGACTTTGGAAATAGCCTTGCGCTGTGCACTATGGCCCTATGTCCTTAGCAGGACAGGGTATTCAAGGAGTCAAGAAAGACACGGCAAACAGAATTGGGCAACAGTAAACAGTTAATCTCACCTGCTGCTCTCTGGTTGGGTAATTCTCTGGCGAGGCTTTGAAGAAAGGCCATTGGTTGTAGGTATAATCATACATCCATTCACAGAAGTGGTTTCCAAAGTCAAACCCTCTGAAAAAATATCATGTATTATTAGCCTACTAGCAATATTAGGGTATAGTTTATGGCATCTAATACCTGTAGTTATAACTGCTGTATTCAAAGTCTATCAACATGAGTCGTTCATTTGAGGATTGGTCCTTAGCTTCAAGAATCAAAATGTTACCTGAAACAAGACAAACAAGATTGTCAACTCAAACATTTTATGTACTACCACTCGAAAGTTTGGACATATTTTTTGCTTCTTTCCTTTATATTTACTACTTACAAAATTTACATAATACATTTGTAATAATTAGATACATTTGTAATAAATAGAGACATCAACTATGAAGCAATATGTATAGAATTACATAGCAAAGAATGTTTTAATAACACTAAATATTTTTAATTCCTCAAAGTACCCTTTGCTTTGTTGACAACCCTTGGTCTTCTCTCATTGAGCTTCATGATGAGGTCTCCTGAAATGTTTTTCACTTCCTTGCATTGTCAGGGTTCATAAGAGGAGAGTGAGCAAAGCAGCACTCAAACATAAAACCCTTTTGGAGTTTTTTCATACTTTACTACCTTCCAACCATGTGTATTTATTCATAGTTTTGATGGCTTCAGTGAGAATCTATAATGTAAGTAGTCATTTGAATAAAGAAAACATGGCATAAAAGTATGTCCAAATGTTTGACTGGTGGTGAAGAGAAATTACAACAGCAGACTCATGTAATCACATAATGGCAGCAGTAAAAACTACTATAGAAATAAATAGATATACCAGGCTTTGCAAAACGACTTACCTTCTTGTACATCATTGTGACAGAACACAACAGGGGAGGGGGTCGCAGCCAGTAAAGCACTGGTTTGTGGGGAAACAAAGTTGTTGTCAACATTATTTATTAACATTATTATTCAGAATGTATTACTTTTCTGTTTCTAAAAAAAATAAAAGGATTAACAAAGCTATCAAAATAATTTGAACTTGAAGATTAAAAGAATGACACAAGCTATCAGTGGAATGTTCTTGTACTAGATACCCCACGTGTCTACAGATAACAAAGCCAATAAATACAGACTGATTTTGTTGGCTGCCAATAGAAGGGTGACTGAGGGATCAGGGAAGAATAGGGCAAAGGTCACAAGAGTAGAAAATAATATTGCAGTACTGTAAGATTCTGGAATTACAAACTGAAACAACATAGAATTCTACTCCTATGTCTGTTAAAATGTTGGCTATGGTGGGGTGCCAAGTAAGGACCTGGTAATGCTCTAATAACAAGTTGTTATTCAGTTAAAACGCCTTTTGTGGACCATTTCAAAATCCTTGGAAAATGAAAACTGCGCTGGAATCTCAACTCACCGGAGCCTCTCCAGTTCACCAGGCAGGTCCAGCTTCATCAGCTTGTTGTACTTTTTTACATGTGCTTCTCGGTTAAATTTAAGTTTCATCACTTGATCCATGTATCTGAAAAGAAAGGATACATTAATGACACAGATGACATTTGTGGAACTAAATCAAAGTCAAAATGTGGGTTTCTTACTTGTCAATGGTCCCAAAAAGCCACTTGGGCTCTTTGTTGAAAGGCATGAGCATATTATGGAAACGTGCCACTTTCGTAGCAATCTCAGCAGAGATAGATGGCTCTGAGAGATGATCAGTGCGCATTCGAGTATTCTGATATAAAGATATAAACAGAAAATTATTGTATTCTAGTAAGAACTTTGTAGCTACTCAGTAGCTCAGTAGCTCCTACTCTTTCACACTAAATACAGAAGCCTCATACCGTGAGGTACTGCTCTAACCGTCCTTCTGGAAATATGCCATAAAGTTTTGGCCCAAGGGTTCTTTCTGCCAGTATGGCAAACATGACACTTTCTAACACCAGTGAGTCCACACCCTGAAACAAACAAACAGGAGAAGCATGTTACATGTTTATAATGACAGAACAGTTACCATGGATAGCTGTATAGACCAACCTGTAAGATGGCACCATAGACTCGGAGCAACACCTGCCTTGGTTCCTCTCCCACCACAGGCACATGGTCAGGTAAGGAACACAGGTAGAGCAGGTTACTCAGCCCACCACTGGAAAGGAATCATTAGTAAGCCTAAAGCTGTTTTTGCATTCGCCTATGATTATGTTATTACACAGTAATAGTGTCACTAACCCTGTACTCACAATGAGTAGTTAAGTTCTGAAAGATTAATTTACCTGCTGATATGAAAATCCCCTTCATGAATGGTCGAACCGACCATGTTATTATTATACAGTAACATCTCTTTACACGCAATGCGCAGTAAAGTCCTGGAAGCATAATTTACCTGATAATGCTGATTTGAAAATCCTTCTCTTTTATTGTCTTCCAGGACCCGGACAGAAAGTCCCTGCACCAAGCGTACGCCCTGCCCTTAGTGTCCCGGTCCACCTCTTCAGTTCTTCCATCCCGAAAAGACTCTGCCTCGGAGTCGTCATCGCCCACCTGGGGGCTGGGTGTCCGCAGTCTCTGGATCGCTACATCCAAAGTGCCCCCCACGAGATTCTTCTCCACGGCTGGACCAGTGTCGTCTGTTTTTATGCAGCTGAAGTCCACTGTGCCTGGTCCCGCTATGCCTCTGTTATTGCTCATATTGCCTGACTGTATCATGAGTTTCCTGGCGAACAGTAAAGGGAGCCCTAGCGGGAGCCCGATGTGAACTGTACGCCTAGAGCGGCAGCTGGAGCTCGCTGACAAGCGCACAACGCCGGTAAAGCTACTTAAGCGGAAGAGCCAAACATAGGACAGTACGCACCGCATGGGAGGAGGCTGGTGGTGTCGACCAACGTATCGGATTCAGAATATGGCTCACCTTTACCCTCCAAAGCTACAGACCAATGCAAGCGGATTAGGAGAAAACCAGGAAATAAAGAAACTGGCGGACCATGCGTCCAATAAGAGCGCACACAGTGGTTACGTCATTCAAAAGGGATTGTGGGAAACGAAGTTTGTAGGCTGGTTTCGTTTATTCGGTAAGTCCACGTTCACTCTTTTCATTGCGAATTTTCACACACATCAACACAGTGACAAATGTGTAGCAATATTTATTTGATTCTGTATACATTCATTCGAAAACAAGTTTGACATTACATGTTATTAACCATGGAAAATATTTATAATATTTATCACAACTTTAGAAATATACTATTCTGATAAAAATCTCTTTGTAATGAATTTCTAATATATATTTCTGTGGTTACATTTTTGTGGTTTCAACAATATGCCATTAAACAGCCTACTAAATTGTCTTGGATACCTTTGTATTGACATATTTTATAATAACAAAATTACATGACTTGTCTTCGATCCACAATGATGATGCCTTGACTAGTCACTGTAGTGGTTTCAGCTCTGGAGCCACTCTTCACTGAAGCAGCTATATCTCTCCCTGTTTGTACAAGCACATTTAGTCTATAATACTAAACATCCAAAGTTACAATATCAATATCTTTCTAAGGGAATCAACAACAAAAAGGAAATGGTCAAATACTCACTCTTTCTGAAGCACCGAGGTTCACAGTTGTTTTGAAGACTTGGTGTGCAAACCGATGTGTTGCAGTGGATGTACACCTGAAGAACAGTACATGTATTCAAAACATTTCTATTAGTCATACTACAGTTTATGATGGATTTTAAGTTGTACCTTTTCTTTCAAAGGTGTTAAAGCCACATCCTGTTTCACATCTTTAGCTGGATCAGATGGACCAGATGCCACAAATGTAAACATCTTGAAAATGAATCTCCTGTAGTGCATGGGGTACATGAGCCCCGAAGATGGCCCCACATTGACCAGGGTGGTTTGGTAGCGATCATCCCGGTAAGGACAACTGCAAGATTGAAAAAAACAGGCTTATATAACACACATACGACAACTAAACATATTTGACTGTCAAATCCCAATTTAAAGTGGGACTAAACGCCTAAAGTTTGCCCACAACCACATTTCAAATAGAGCTGCTAAACTGGGAGGTGCCTGTTATGGACTAAAAAAGAGAGTGACAGAAGATGAGAACAATGTGTCTAACAGGTGTCCACACTTCAAATTTCGCTCCTGCAGCCATGTATTTGTAATTAGAAAAAACGTGGCTGTAATCAGGGCAGTCTTTCATGATATCACCCACAACTATTACTACTACTAATTGCAGAGCAGAATCCACACTCTTAGACTGAGGTACTTTTAACCAAAAAGGTGCAAATTTAAAATTTGTACACAGTCCTATTAAAATACCATATACGCATTTTGGTAGCAAAAATGTGAATTTAGCATTTAGTTTCACTTTAATCTTACCCATCAATCAGCAAGTCCCACTGGGGTAGACTCTGAGAGTAGGGGCTGGAGGTGGCCCAGCATCGGCCCAATGTCAGCACCAAATTGGGGTCTGTTCTCTCCAGCAGTCTCACCTCCACATACACAGGGTCCCGGAGCACCTTTGTGACCGGGTATTCACTATCCAGGTAGTAGGAGTTGTAGGCCACGTCCTCTGTTCAGACAAGCACAGACTTATTAATCACAACAACATAGGAACATATAGTAGATAGAATAAAGCGGCCTTGGAACCCACCTTCCACACAGCCCTTTACCGTACACTGTCCGTTGCCTAGCCTGAGCTCCACATGCAGAGGACCAGGAGCAGCCACAGGAGGAGGAGCAGGGAGGGTGCCCACTTCAAACACCAAAGCATGCACTGAGGTTCCGATATATCTGCACTGGATCATCAGGCTAAAGCAGACACATCAATATTTGAAGACACTTACTAGGTGTACATTTGTACTTTCTTTCTCATTTATTCAAGGGTGCAATTTTAAATCACTGTTCACATTAGCCACACTCTAATTAGAAAGTTTTATTGTGTTGATCTAGACTAAAATATTAGAAATATTAGTTAATGCATGTTTTTTTTTTTTTTTTTTTGCATGTTTTTCTGTTTGTTTGTTTACTTAATAGCACTTGAAAACAGGCGTCTTTACTTGGAGTGGGCTTGTATCTCCACAAATCTGACTCTTTTTTGGCCTTGCTTGTTTCCTTTTGGTATAATCTTCCACAGTAGGGCAGAACAATTCTATCACCATGGAGAATGTTTCACAGCATGGTTTTAACTTTCTATTTCCATGGAATCATCCAGGTGACATTCCAGAAAGTTACATACTGTGCCTTTAAGGGTCTTGCACAAAGGCACACCAACATTAAAACTGTCTGCACCCTGTCAACTTAATATACTTAAATTTTACTTGTTTCTACATATTCCTGGAATGTATGTTATATTGTATGCCTTAAACAACACCCAACTTACTCAAATTGGCTGTCCCTGGTAATGGCTCCATACGGCCCAACAGCAACTTCATATGAAGACGACATTCTGTTTTCGTAGGTTAGAACCCCATTTTCAGACTCCTGCCACAAATGCTCATGTCAAGTAATGATAATTCACTTCAGAAAAATTGGTTTTCATGGTAACTTACTGCCACAACAGTCCCACAGCTTGTAACAGGGAACTGATAGATGACAAATTCTGTGGTTGACCCAGCAGCTTGGCAGTTCTGATCAGTGCCCATAAAATGAATGGAACTTAAGTCAATGTTGGGCAATGTGGCATCTCGGGCAACTACCACAATGAACTGGGCATCTTTTGTGCACTGCAGAGTTACTGTTAAAAGAGATGGCCATTACAAATATTTTCAGTAGTAATAGTAGTAGTAGACAGTAGAGAAACACTCACCAGCTTTGCCATAGTAGCACATCTGCCCATCAAAGCAGCAGTTGATGGCTTGGCATTCTGACACAGAGATTTCAGGGCGTCCACAGTGGATCCTGTAAAATGGATCCACCTCACAGGTTTGAAAATCCGGCTTTGGGACATGGGGATGCTGAGGCTGCTTTGTGTCCTTGGGTTGCTGAGGGTGCTGAGGGTGCTGAGGGTGCTGAGGATGCTGAGGGTACTGAGGGTGCTGAGGCCTGTAGGGGTCTTGTGGCGCAGGTTTCTGGGGGTCCCGTGGTACTTGCTTTGGAGGTGATGGATAGTTCACCTGAGGAGGTTGGTTAGGTTTCTGTGCAGACTGCGGGGGTCTCTGGGATTGGGGTGGTCGTTGATACAAGGTCGGCTGGACGTTCTGAGAAGGCTTAGGTCGCTGAGGATCCTGAGGGTTCACCTCCTTGAAATACTGTGCACTTGCTAGCCCCCCCAACACTAACACCGCCAGAAGACCAAGAGCTACAAGTCTGACTGCCATGGCTCCCTGCTCAGAGATCCACCATGGACAATGGGCACGAGGCTGTGGAAGGTCTGGGCAACAGCCTGACTTTTATAAGTATGGTGAGGTCTGGCAGTCCCAAACTCTTCTCTTATTGGCTGAGCACAACCACCAATCAGACAGCCTTTAAATTGGTTAATTCTCTAAATAATCTTTCATTCTGAAGAATCACATTGGCATGAACATACCTAAATAACTGCCCATCTTTGTATACTTCAGACAATCAGATGTATCTTTAATGTATCTTAAATGATGGGGCTAGTGCCATGAAAAGGAAGAGCGTATTGGCAGTGACCAGGGTCAAACAGGTCTGTATGACCAGAACTGCAGGTCACACACACACAGGTTGTATAACATGAGATCAGAAAAACATGAATGTTTTTATACTGTGATGCAAAACAGACACATGCCTATATCATACTAAAGCAATATTCTTACATAGACCTATGTAACAAACCTTCAACAATTACATTTTTATGCTGAACATTAGGAAATACATGCAGCAAAATAATATGCATTAACACCTTAAACATATGAACTAGCAAACAACACAACATTCTCTGACCTGCTTTACAAACAGATGATTGCTCCTCTATTGATTTGTTCCAAATAACAAATTTACTTTGGCAAATAACTTGGTTTGACATTTTATGTGGAGGACAAGAAGACATCAGGTCAGTGTGACATTTTTCTAAACTTAGTGTCAATGGCTCTAAACACATATAAATGTACAAATGTAATAAATACAACATATCCACACTATATTTGTTCCTTAATATGTCCATCTCTCAGATCTGGAGTGGCCCTCTTAGCTGTTGGTGTAAATCAGCAAAGTACACGTATATGGGCCAGAGAGTTGGTCCACAGGGCACGTGGTGTCAGGCATCAGAGGGTGGGTTCTTGGGGCATATAAAAGGACCTACCCAGGTGTCAGGGTCCTCTACAGCACCCAAGGGGGACCACCTGTAGCCAGAGCCATGCTGTTGAAGTGCACTGCTACGTGCCTTTTGGCACTAGCACTGTTTATTAGCTTCTGTGATGCACAGTGGCAAACCCAAAACCAAAAGCCTCAGACACCCAGCAAGCAATGGCCTGTAGACCCTCAGCAGACCAAGCAGACCTTTGAGAAGCCTTTGGAGTGGAAGTACCCCGAGGACCCTCAGCAGGAAACCCCAGGCCAGCCCACTGTGCCCTTTGAGGTCAGGCATCCTGTGCCGGTGAGCACTGTGGCAGTGGACTGCAGAGAGAGTTTTGTCCATGTGGAAGTGAAGAAGGACATGTTTGGAATAGGACAGTTCATTCATCCTGGAGGTTTGACACTGGGAGACTGTGCTGTCTCAGCTGAGGACACCAGCGGCCAAGTGCTGATCTTTCAGTATGAGCTGCAGAGCTGTGGCAGTGAGCTGAAGGTAAATCTGAGGAAAACAACACAAACAGACCAATTCTGAATGCTAATGTTTGTGCATTTCTTACAGATGACAGACAACTCCTTCATTTACTCCTACGTCCTGAACTACAATCCTCCAAATTATGGGGACTCTCCTGTGGTGAGGACCAGCAAAGTTGCTGTCATTGTGGAATGCCACTATCCAAGGTTTGTCTATCAGAATAGAGCTGCCAGTTTGAATAACGCTGAAATGAATAAGTGCTGTATTCTTTCCAAATATATTAACTTACCTTTTTCTTTTCTTTAGGAGGCAGAATGTGAGCAGTTTAGCTCTTGATCCACTCTGGGTTCCTTTCTCTGCTGTCAAGGTGGCGGAGGAGTTCCTGTACTTCTCCTTGAAACTTATGACAGGTGAGCTTGCCCTCTTTCACCTGTCTCAGTGTGAAATCTATCCTGACACAGTTTTACTGCACAGATGACTGGGTGTATGAGAGACCGAGCTACGTGTACTATTTGGGAGATGTGATTCTTATTGAGGCATCTGTCATGCAATACTTCCATGTCCCTCTGAGGGTATACGTGGACAGCTGTGTTGCTACGCTGACCACTGATGTAAACTCCAGCCCCAGATATGCTTTTATCGACAATCACGGGTGAGAAACAGCACTATGAGATACACAGTTACATTCTGTGTTTTCTTTGACACTGATAGTTTGTGTCCATATACAGATGCTTCATTGATGGCAGAGTGACGGGTGCAGCCTCACGCTTCCTGCTTCGCCCTGCAGAGAACAAACTTCGTTTCCAGCTGGACGCCTTCAGGTTCCTAGGAGTGGACTCAGGAGTGGTGAGCACTTTTTCTTATAGGCACTTTTCCTTTTCCTGGACCTGATTTTAGTTTATTCTTCTTGAGGTAAATGCTCTTTACATCATGCATTGATTCATTTTACATAGCATTTTCTCAGGTAATAACTAATGCAGAAGCTACAGACTTGTCAAAAGTATAAAAAATCAGACTCTAATCTAAAACTAGTATCAAATTAATGCTCATTTGAGCAGTGAGCAGGTATTGATACTAAAAAATGAAATAAACTTTTCCTGAATAACTTTAAAATGAACTTGAGCTGTATCAAAACAAGTGTAAGACCACATAGACTAGTATACATTGTAGACTATGGAACATACTTGGATGACTGAGGAATTGCATAGATATAACACCACATGGTAATATACTATTACTATTATTTTATGTTGAAAATCACATTCTATTGTCTAGATAAAAAGTGTTTTTTATAATCATTGTAGTATTAAAACTGGTATTAAGTATAAAGTCTATTCCTCAGTATCAAAATTGAGTTTGATTTTTTTTTTATCATGACAATACTACTGACAAGGTCACCTTTTTCCCCAGAGACTTGCTTCTCTGTCATTCTCTGTGCATTTTCCAGAGTGACAAAAAAGCAAATAGTAAGCATAGATTGGAGAAATATAAGGAAACAACTGCAGAACATTACCCAGAAAGGACTAACTGAGTGGGACTAAAAGTTCAAACTAAAACATGTTCTTCACTCATGGTTTGAAATCATGCACAGGCCCTTTAAATAATAGTGTTAGTGTGCTCTGATAAGCCCAAATCTAACCCGATGCTCCAACAGATGTATATTACCTGTCTCCTGAAAGCCACATCCGCTGCACATACCATCCATGACCAGCACAGAGCCTGTTCATACATCAACAACATGTAAGTACCACAAACAGACTACATAAGAACTTAATTTACAAAGCCTGTTATTAGTTGAGAAAATTCCTAGTATTAGGTACCATTAAAAAGTATCCATAGAAATAAATTATTTTATTTTGTTTTATTTTATTACGATTTCATCACTTACCTGTTTTAGATTTCTAGGTATAGATTAACTAAGTAATACTGACCAACACCAGTGTAGAGACAGGAAATGGCTCTTATTTCCCTAAAACATAGTTAACTTACTACACAAAAGATGCAACTGTGCTGTGGAACTGTTACTTACCCTTCAAATAAAAGTTCAGATATTATGAGACACTGTAGGCGAAAGTCAGTCACTATATTTGTGCTTACAACATCCAACCTGCCATCGGATTAACTGATATTGTGAAACCAATACCTGATCCAGAAAATTTTTAGTATACCAGTATCGTATTGGTGCATCCCTAGTGCCAGTATTCTAATCTAGGTATTGCTGAGTACTAGTATTAAAAAAATTAAATAATCTAGTTCTTAAGTACAATTCTTAAACAATAAATGTTGACATTAGTGATTAGAATGTTTTCCTCACAACCGAAAGTGGATTTCACGATGTTCAGGTTTTTCTGGTTTCTAGCATGTTGTATTTTAACTTTAGCTTGAACAAACAAAAACTGAAGTTCTTATCTGATGACTTATGCACACTGTAAATACAAAGAAATTGTCTGACATGTGTGTCTTACCTCCCAGGTGGAAGGAGGTCAATGGAGCTGATGCCTCCTGTGGCTCCTGTGAGACTGGCATAGGCAGTGTCGGTTCAGGAACTGGTGGAGACACTGGCGTTGGGAGTGGGTCAGGGAAAACTTATGGGGGTGGGTCTGGTTCCGGTTCTGGACAAGGTAGCGGGTCTGGGAAAAAGTATGTACAGTATGGGTCAAGCGGCGGGTCTGGGGGATCAGCCACTGGTTGGTCATGGTCACCTTCTGGTGGGTCACAAGGGTCACAAGGGTCACAAGGGTCACAAGGGTCACAAGGGTCACAAGGGTCACAAGGGTCACAAGGGTCACAAGGGTCACAAGGGTCACAAGGGTCACAAGGGTCACAAGGGCTCACTGCTAGCCACTATGTGACAAGCTCAGGGACTGGCTATGGAGGATCCACAACAGGATCGGGGTCTCCTCCTTGGAACACTGTTGCCAGAAATCCCCATCCAGCTGTTGCAAGGAAAGTCCGGGACGTATCTACTGAGGAAGGTATGTACACAGTAGTTCAGTAACATTGACTATAACTTGAAAAATACTGCATTCAATTCAATTCAATTCATTTCATTTTTTTTTTTTTTTTTTTTTCAGTTTTCGATTGGGAAGGTGAAGTCACTGTTGGTCCTTTTATCGTCAATAACAAAGTAACCAGAACCTAAGATCTAGATTCTAATATCTGAAATAAAATAAATTATTAAAAAAATAATTGTGAACTGTACAAATATGATCTATTATTACCCATAAGTTCAACAATATGAACCTCAACTTAATGAACAATAAAAATAAGAGTACAAAACATACATGTTAATACATCTGAAATAAATATTATCCTGTATTATTAGATATGAATTTGTTTCAGCTCATGTTCATTTTCTGTAAAACTTTGAAATTGAAATAAAATGTCAATAAATTTTAACTAAAACAAAACTGCTTCTTTGTTGCTGTCTGCTACATATAAATGAGCTTAATGGGCTGCATAAATTGAAAAAAACTTGACTGCTAGTCTAGCAGTGACCATGTGTCTCATGAGCTTTAGCAAGTAGCCGAGTAGTTGGTTACCTAACTTTTTCATCGTAGCTGTAGTTCAAAATTACATTGTTTTGGGTCCATGTTTGTAGCCTAATACTAATGAACCAAGTACGTGCGCCTCAGTAAAGCGCGACCTCTTGTGGTCAATTTAAGAAACTACAGTTCGGTTCCATTTCAGTTTCAGCACCAGAGACAGCGACAATCTCAAGCGGTTTCTGTAGAAGACCTGTCAGGGAAATTCAAAACGCATGCAACCAATCATGCTGTGACAAAATTCACAACAATATTTTTAGGACTCAAAATCTGATCACTGTGGCTTATACAGTTTCATGGGTAAATAAATATGATTTCTAACTTTACAGAACATTACAGTGTCTAGTTATGCGGATTCTGTGTTTGTCCTGTTTTGCTCTCTACGTGATATCGACCCCACTTCTCATTTCCCGTGGCATTGTTTAGTCAGCACACTTTCAATCACGAGTTGATGGTATCACTCTTGTAGCTGCTATCCGGATGAGTCAATGGCTTAAAGGAACAGTCCATAGTTTGATTCCTACAATTGTGCTTTGCGGGGAATCCCATACAGACATACAGCATACGCAAGAGGCTCAAATTTGATCAGTTTAAGTCAGTATAATGAGCTTGCCCCAGGTGTGCTGAGATGTCTATATGTGGCTGCATTCTTCTCAGTCACGCTGCTGATACGGTAGCGTTACTGACGTTATGAGCATCCCCCCTCCCTCTGCTGCCCGCTCTCCTCCGCTCGTCTCCGCACCTTGGCTCGCTCGGTGGCACGCGTTTTGGTTTTTCTGGGGGGAGCACTGCTGTTGGACACTACACTGCGGTGCTGCCATTTTCACAGGAGAACATTTTTGGGTGGATTTTATTTAATTTCCTCCAACCATCCTCTCATCGCAGTGACCAGTTCCTTCCTCTCTCCTCTCTCCTCCTCTCCTCCCTCCCGCGCCTGGTGTGTGGATGTTTGACTGCAGATTTGATGGTGGTGCTGAGCAAGCGCGTGTGATTGAAGGCTCTCGGCCGAAGGGGGGCATCAGAGCTGGGGCCAAAATAATCAACCCGGAATCCCGCTTCGTCGCCATCCAACGGCCCGCTTCCCTCCACCCTCCGCGCTGCGCCTGTGGATGGACTGCGCGCTAGCTGATCGGTGATTTTTCTGCAGTCGCTGTGAGTCATTTGTGGTGAAAGAACAAGAAGATGGCGGACAGGGCTGAGATGTTTTCCCTCTCTACTTTCCACTCGCTCTCTCCCCCCGGATGCAGGTAAGGGTTTTTGCAACAGCGCGTCAAAGCTACGAAGATAATGCACGGCTTTTACGCAGTGACATTGACGGCAAGATCGCGCCTCGTGGTGTGCTATTGCTATGCTAAATACATTGTCATATGTGATGCTAGATGTTGATTGCATCCTGCCCGGGCCTCGGTGTTGGGTAGCTAAGCAGAACGTGGTGATATGGCTAGTTTGGTGAGGACTCTGTGTTCTCTACCAACATATCTACCTCAAAATACGTTTAAAAAATCCTTGCCTTTACATGTATGACATATTTGTTTTTGATGACACATGAGTGAGTTGTCGCGACAGCCCTCACTCCTCACGTCCTGCGCAGTCTCCGTGCCATAGAGAGGCCCACGCCCTATTGAGTCCCATCCCATCCAGGCAAGGGCAGTGGCAGTGCTTTACATACCGGTCTTATCTGGACTATAGGCGGGTTTTAAATGCGTGTAATCTGGCCTCTGTCTCCAACAATATGTCATTTTTCTGTACGGTGTCATTGTCTGAGAAAGGACAAGGTGGCTGCTGGGGTTCTACTCAACAAAAATCAATAAGATGCTTTAAGGTTAAAGATGGCCCACTGGCTTTTAAGTGTAATAAGTATTGATCTCCAGGGATCTGAAGATCTGAGCAGTGAGTGACAAATGAACTGACTTGGTTTTGGCTTGGTTTAGATGTTTTCTCACCATTAACAATGCTCAGATGTTGTAGTTTAAGAGTCCATATTATGATAAATCAACTTGTGAGTTGCCTTCTCATCAGCATATCTGGAGCACCTTTTGTTTCCTTTACAAATATATGGATTGGTTAATCAGTTTAGGCTGTGTTCTTCTCTAGAGCTTGTGATGTCATAGGTGGTATTCTAGGAAGTGTATTCACTATTCACCATTTTCTTTGTTTCATTGTGTACATTGTCTTCTCCAAGATACTCAAAGCTTGTAGCCAATGATTTTACTTCTGAAACTGTTCAAAAGAAGTTGACAAAGCAAGTATGTAACTTTTTATTCAAACTTTTTATTTATTTCTGTATTGCATAGAAAAAACATGAGTACTGTGAGTGTTTTTTCCCCCCCAAACCTCAAGGCCTATACCTGTTGGATTCCATGGAAATGTTCTTTTATCTATCTCCATGGACACTTATCTGAATTATGGTTTTAACTTTCTGTACCTATGGATTCATGCTTCAGAAAGTTACACACTGTACTTTTAATATAGAACTCTTACAATTAATGATTCTAATCATTGTGCATAGGCTCACAGATCATGAATGTAAAAGTAATTATATTAACATATTCAGATTAATTATTAAAGTTTTTTTGTCTGTATAGTGTGTCAAGACTTGTGATTTAACACAAAGTATGTTCATTTATTGATCATTGCAGTTTAATTAAGATTCCGAGTGAGAAGACAGCTCATATTTGACGTTGTTGTAGATGATGGCACATTCAGGGATCAGGAATAGTGAGTAATGTTGTGGTTGAGCAGCTTAAAGCCAACTGGAGCCCAGGGAAAGTCCAGAGAAGATTTATGGAGAGTGTATGGAGAAAGTGGAGAGGTACGTCATTATGATTATCCTCTCTGCAGCCTCTAAGTGCTACTGTAACAATAATTAATTTAGATAGCAGTTTAATTTAGGGTACATTTATTATCATAAAACTAGCTTCTAATTTGCATAAATGTAAGTGTTTAGTTTGATATTCATTTGTATTTATTTGGCCCTTGTATGTCTGATGCACACTTTTATTTGACTCTTTATTAGAATTATTAATCTGATGTTTGGACATATTGATTACATGAATTAAGATATTGTTGTTTTTACTTGTTAATGCTTATTCATGTGCAAAAATGTCCTAACATACTAAGAATCATTACTATGAAGTTTAATTTGATATTTTTTCTTTTAGTGGCATAGGTGACTGGAGGTATGGTACATTTATTTATTTATTTACTTATTCATTAATGTATTTATTTTATTTATGAGACAGGGACAGTGCACAATAAACATTAACCTTAACAGGAGAGATTGCATTGTGCCAGGTTGTTGCACTAGAGTCAATTTCCACCTGTAGTCCCTGGTGCATGTTTTTTAGGTTTGACATTGACAGAGCAGGGTACCCAGAATTCATTCTCTAGTTGTGATTGAGAGATAGTTAACAATTACTACACCATACTTATTGTCAGATTCCAGATTTGTTGACCTGGTTTATGGCTAAATATCTCTGTAATTACTGGGCCTGCCCACATGAAACAAAAACTCACACTAAGTTCAATGTAGAAATAAGCAAAATTGAAATGATTTTTTTCAGAATAGTCTAAGAAAGTGGTCTCATCATTTATTCATTATTCAGTTGAAGCTTCAAAATTAATATTGCATGTTTGTGGAGCCAATCCCCAATAGTGTCACGATACTAAACTTTCAAACTCGATTTCAATACTGAGGAATAGAATACTCAATACTGATTCTGATACCACAATTATAAATAAAAACACTTTTTCTTTAGAATGTGATTTTCAACATTAAATCATACTTTCTTTATATTACTACGTTGTTTTATATCTGTGTAATTCCTCCCTCGTCCAGGTAGTTTCCATAGTGATCTACGGGCATATACTAGTCTATGTGGTTTTATACTTCTAAAAAAAAATGTTTTCAGCCTACTTATATCATTCCAAAGCTATGAAGGAAAAGTTAATTTCTTCCCTGAAAATGTGACCTGTTTAGTATCAATACCCGCAGAAATATGTATCTAATCTAATGTCTAGTTTCATTTCTAGTTTTAGTATCTGATTTTCGATGACAACCCTAATCTCTAACAAACAATTATAACGTTTACATTTGTGAATCATGTGAAGTTCGGATATCTCGTTCAAAAACAGTGAATCTCCCATAGAGTTATACAGACTCTTGTCCACCATCTGGGATTATAACATTTAAAAATTTTAGAACACAATTTATCGACTAGCACTTACTCTTGTACAATCTGCTATCCTTATCTCATGAACAGGCTTGGTTTAATCAATAGTTTTTGCCTGACCAGGAGCATTGACCTCAGCTGGAGCACAGTTCGCCAGCTCTCATTGCGTCGATATTGAACGCAGAGCACTGGACTGTAATCTGAGCTAATCTTTAATGTACCACAGGAACAATAGAATGGTTTCTCTCTAGGCACGCTGCTCTCTCCAACTGCACATAAAGCTTTTTTAGTTTATTTCTTTTTTTTTTGGGTTAACCATGATATAAGATTGTTGGTGCTTCAAAACAAACATAATATTTCATTCGTTTACATTGTTACAGGTGTATTATTAAATTTTTCTGATGAATGGTCCTCCTTAATTTGTATATCTCTATGGAGACAAGATATGCCATGTTACAGGTTAGTTCTGTGGAGAGACGAGCATGCTCACAAATCATAAAATGCAAGATAGCTAAGTTTAATGTTATACTGTTCCAAGCAAAGCAGTGACATCTCCATGGAAACGGTGGTGGAACTGAACTCCCACCTGAAAAGTTACAGAGTGTACCTTTAAATCTATACAACATTATCACATTTTGTTTATTCCGGTGCTTAAATTGACTTATCCAAATATTCACATAAACAATCAAAAAAGAGTGTATTTTTTCCATTCATTTACATTTCACAAATATTGAAAATTCTAGATAAAAATAAAATACCTGCAGAATATCAGTCAGTAGCAATTTTGCATTATTGTTCCCTTTTGTTTGTCACAGATTTGCCTGTTATTGTGAACAGCTCCCATATTAATCTCTTTTACATAACTCATGCCAGAGCTTAATCCACACAGCAGCAGTAAGTCTTTCCTTTACAGAAGCACATATTTATGACATGCTATATTTCCTCCAGGACTGACATAGGGCCATTTCAATGACACACCATTCAAAAGGAGAGCCCAGTTAATCAAGTCAATGGGCCTGCTGCAGTTAGTCACACAATGAGGACATGCACTATTCCCCAGTGGCTCCAGTCTTCAGAAAGAAAGCCAATTTACTTGTCTTTATTAGAATTTGAAGTGATATTATTGTGTCTTATTTCATTACAATGGACTGTGCAATGATGAAAAATTGTAATTGAACTGAGATCCAAAAAGGGTTGCCAAAAATATCGAAAATCATATACTAAAACTAATATTGAAAAAACTAACTCGTCTGAGCAGGTATCAACTGCAAAAAAAAATCACTTTAAAGGTGCACTGTGTAACTTTACTGGTAGAGGATTCGACACCTGTTAGTGCATGTTTTCAAGATAATTTTTCAGTTATAAAATCTGTCCTGAAATAAATGCTAGATAGATGTTTAATGCTCTACTGTGTCACATTCTAGACAAAGCAATAACATCTCCATGGAAACAAGCAGATGACAGATCTGAAAAGTTACGCAGTGCAGCATTAACAGACAAAAACTGAGCTCTCGTAAACAGTTTTATTATACATTTGAACTTTATCAGAATGAATATAAGACCACATTGTAACATTAAGAAAGTGCTATTTTGTGTTGAAAATTACATTCTATTACTAAAAAGGAACATGTTTTATTTTGATAGTAGAATCATAATCGGTTTTGAGTGAATTCCTTTTTATCGAATTTGAGTTTTAAATTTTTGTATCTAATAATTTCATACCTTCAATGATCAGTTTGGGGTTTTGAAGTGAGAAGTGTACAGCCAGTCCTCTGTTAGTAATAGTAATTATTCATTGGAAATTGGCAGCTGATTATAAAATTTAGGTTAGACTGGATTAGTTTACACTTTTACAGATTTTGTAAAAGAAAGTTAAATTCTATTAAGTGGACAAACGTTTTTAAGAGTAAATACATTTTGCCAGACATCCAAACAGCTTCTTAATGTTCTGACAGGATATTGGAAAGTCTTACATCTGTCTGAATGGAGGAGCTAGATAATTACTTACTAATTATCGAACTAGATAATAATTAATTAAGGAAGAGCTAAGAAATTATTTACTAATTAAATGTCGC